TCCTTGGAAATTTTCAATAGGGATATTTATGATGGAGTAACACGTAGAAACCATAGAATTTTATTCGGAAAATATTTTCTCGTTCATTCCAACGCAGAGTATGCATGAATTGTTTCCTTGCAGAGATGGGCGAATTCCATTCTCGCATGAACAGCTTTGCAGATAAGCAGAATATAAGATTTCGAGGCACGAAGGGTCTGAGGATCGTGACCGATCAATATGAATTGCACTCCCTTCAGAACACGGCTTGGTGTCGTGTTAAGTCTGAGAGGAGAACCAGACCCTGGCACAGCAGGACAGAGGAATATAAACTCCGCCGTTAAAGAGATGACCTTGAGCTAAATTCCAGTGATATTTGAGTTAGTGTTAGAGCTTGGCTTAGGACAGGGGAACGGGAAAGCTTCCTGGAATTTGACCCTGGGCCACCTGTGCCACGCCCCCTACTGCTTCCCGCCCGACAATGGCAATACAGTAATGTTGATCGGCAATCGCCACCGAGCAGTTCTGTGAAATTTTGCGGGACTTGCATTGCAGTAGGAAAGGTCTGGAACTCGGCGACAGCAAGCCGGATTAACCGCCTAATACAGCCGCAAAGCCACAATCCAGCTGTTGCTTTATATTTAAGAGAACCGAATAATTTCGCGAAATTTAGATTTCATCAGGCCTCTGCTTTCGCCAGATTTTACGACACTGGAGTTTTTTTGCTTTGGGAATAGCTAAAGACTCAAGTGTACGAGAATCCTCCGACAATTATCCAGCAGCTTAAAAACAACATTCAGGAAGAACTTCACACACTGGAGCCAGACACGTTAAGAGTCCTTGTGTCTTGTCAGTATTTCACAGGATAAAGAATATACACTTCGGAGAGGTCATTCCCTGACACACTTGAATCACTGAAGGATGGTGATTGGGTAGGGTTTCTGAAATACTGCTAAATTTTCAGCATCAAGAGGAATGGTCAGATGTGGTTATGTAGCCTCGCCTGAAGTAAAAAAAAACCCCAGTCACCTGTAATACGGGACCGGCGGTAATAGGGGCTTTTGCAGGTGGAGCCGGAGAACGCACAGGTGACGAGGTCAAGTAGTTTTATGCAAAAGAAAAGCTATTGGGAATGCGCTGTTGTAGTTTGACTGGTTGAGAAATGGTTGTCCTAATCTCTAACCCTAACCCCTAACCATAATTCCTAACCCCAACCCCAACAGTATTGTGTCCGTCAGGCGGGGCTACATAACCACACCTTCCGGAGGCAATTTACGTGACCTATTCATGAACAGAATCAGCGCCCAGAGATAGAAATGACTACGTCATCGAGGCCGAGTATTTCAAACATTCTGTTTCAAATTCATGACTGTAAGTCGCTAATTAACTAAGATTACTCCGGTCATGTTTGCAGGACAAGGTTTTTGACAAACTGACGAACGACAAATCGGGATTAAAAATATTAATGAAGTACCTAGTGTAAGGAGAATCATAGGTAAAGTCTTGCCACTGGCCTTGATTTAGGGTTAACACACGACAGTTTGGCCGTCGTTACCAACGATGTCAACCGGTGTGCACCACATCAGGATGAGAGCAAGGACGGTGACTTGTGCGTGAATAAGTTTAAAGTGAGAGTGGACTTGCGCAGCATCTACCACACTCAAGCTTCCTCCCACCGGGGTCCGGTGGAGAGAAAGTCAAGAAGACCGGAGGCGGGGAGGGCGCAGGTTTCTGGCGCGGCAAGACTCCGTGCCTGGGCGTACCACCACAGCCCCTGGTCCTCAACACACACGGGCCAGAATTTTACACAACAAGAGGGAAAGGGTGGACGGCACGAATTTCAATTGGCGCGGCGTGCACCTGCACATGGGCCTGCCTTCACACCCCAAATTTTGATCCTCATTCCTGCTAACGCCTTCGGAATCCCAATCTACAGTAGGTGGGCTAGCTCATGAAATGTCAATCGAAATTCCGAAATGCGCTTTCGTTTCAAAAAGGTTAATTAAGCAGGGTTGCAAAATTAAGCATCGTACAGTATAATTCTATAATAATTCAGTTACCTCAGGATGCCGGCTTTCGAACAAACTTTCTTCCGGCCGCATGCAAAAACCACACTCTGTAAAAAATGACTACTCAATTATCGCGGATTTTTCTCATTGATTTTCGATTACCTTAAAAATTCAATTTTATTTTATGGAAAACATGCATATAAATATCCACTCTTCTACTTACTCGGTCAAAAAGTACGTCTTCTTTCAATTTTATACGCGGAGGAAGGGTATAATTCGGTTTCAAAAAAGTTTCTAATTATGAGATTTTTTGACCGTGAAAGCTCCGTTCAAAAAACATCGTGTCTGGATATTTACTAGTGCCGTTTGTAACGTTAACGATATAGCTCAAATCCACCGTTAAATTTTATGAACCCTATATAGTCTTCTCTTAATACCACAGAGAAATGTATGCTTTTCCGTCCGCGGAAAATGCACAGTTTGCGATTTGAAGACCCTGAATGCAAGTGCAACGGCAGGTCGCCTTCAAAATTATTCGGGAATTGGAAAAGTTTTTGAAAACTGAATTACATCCTTCGAGGGTGAAATTTTAAAAAGACGTAATGTTTTACAAAATGAGTAAAAGAATGAATATTTTTATGCATGCTTTCCATAAAATATAATTGAACTTTTAAGGGCATCGAAAATCAATGGGAAAAATTCATGATAATTAAGAAGTCATTTTTTACAGTTGCGCAATCACAAGGTCACGGGAAGACAAGTATCTCCGCATAAGGGCAATGAACACTCACTCGCCTGTTAAGTCTTGAGGCGCTGCGACATCAATTGCTACCTGCTGCAACTGCGGGTTTCCAAGTCAACAAGCAGGGGAGCAGGGTTAACTAAAGAGTGTTTACCAGAGTTCGTAAGCGGCTGCGGGAAGGCGCTGCGCGGAGTGCGTGATAAGGCGAGCCGCGGACGTGTAAGTTCGGTGATGCGTAAGTTGGTGTGTGTGCTCGCAGCTCCCTGAGTGTGCTATTGTAACGCCCCACGATCTGTATGGGGCTGTCTGAATGAAGAGACACGTTTGGCTCAGGAGGCCTGGGATTGAGATGGTGTAACTGCGTGCCGGTAAAAACGGCCGGTGTCCTTCCCCCGCTCTACCACTAACCTCCTCCCCGCAACTTGCCGTAACGCTCGCATCGCATGCTCTCTCTCTCTCACTCAGCGTCGGCACCTCCCTCGGCCCTCCGCTATAGTTGCCCACAGCGCTTCGTTCCCCACCGGTTGTTTAGCTGGCATGTCGGTGTCGCCTCACCCTCCAGACAGGTTAGCCCCTTGCTGTAGCTCATCGTGTTTGTACAATAACTACTAATATATGTATTCCCAGTTTCCATCTCTCCCCATTATACCTTATTGCCAACCTTACGTTTCTTCTCCCCCTGCGTAAGCATGAGTATTGCGAAATTTTAACAGATCGATCGTAGTCAGGATCTCTTCGCAGTGTTTCGTGACCTCGGTGTCCAATGAGTGACGGATCTCATGAAATGTTGGCTGAAATACTGAAATGCGTTTTCGATAAGGAGGGACTACCTAGGTGGGATGTCAGCTTTTGAATACACTGCTTTCCAAACTCCTGTAGGAGCCGTACTAGGTAAAAAATGACTACTTAATTTGTCAGCATTTTTTCAATTGATTTTCGGTGGCATTGCAAATTCAAATATATTTTATAGAAACCACGAACAAAAACATGCTTTATTTCAGTCGTTTGATAGAGAATCACGTAAGCTTGATATTTTATGCCCAATGAAGGAGTATAACTAGGATTTGGAAAAGTTTTTCAATTCCCGAATAATTGGGGGCCTGATCAGTCGTTGCATTAGCGCTTAGTGATTTAAGTCTACAGGGTGCATGCGCTCCGCGTAAAGAAAAGCACATATTCGTCTATACCTTTTAAAAGAAGTCCCATAGAGTTCATAAGATCTTGCAATGGAATCGGACTATGTTGTTCATTTCAAGAGGAGCAATGGTAAACGGATAGATGTAATGCTGTATGAATGGACATTGCACGGTATTAAAAATCTCATAATTAAAAACGTTTTCAAAACCTAATTATACTCCTTCTTTGGGCATAAAATATAAAGTTTACGTGATTCTCTATCAAACAACTGAAAGGAAGCTTATTTTTGTTCGTGGTTTCTCGAAAATATGTTTGAATTTGCAAGAAGCTCGAAAATCAATGGGAAAATGCATGCTGCCTGAGTAGTCATTTTTACCGTGTATAGTTTCTACAGGAGATTGAAAAGCAGTGTATTTAAAAGCTGACATCCTGCCGAGTCCGAAATATTATAGCATTATGCTGCAAAATAATCAGTATTACAACCGCACCTAAGTAATCCTTCCTAATCGAAAACGCATTTCAGAATTTCAGCCAACATTTCATGAGGTCGGTCACTCACTGTATGCTATCCTTATCGTCCTCGGCCGCTACATTATCACTACTTCCAAAGTTGGACGACGAGAGAAGAAGATGCAATCAGTCCTCCCACATGCACTTCACACTTCTTGTTTCCCGGTGAGAAAATGGAGGACTGTGCTTCAAGTGCCTCGTCTTAGGAGTTGGTATCTGGTTAAAAAATCAGCGGCAGCCTCCAGCGCCCTTATGTACTGTGATCTTCACGATACGCAGTTACCAAGTGCATTATCCAGGGCGATGCTTATATATCTCGCCGACTTTAAACTGCCTTGTAGGCACCGGAATTGAACACGTTTTAGGTAGAATGATGTGTCCACTGCACAACCCTGGATATAAGGTCTACTGGTTACGCACCACCGCGCCTACTACAGTGATTGCCGTTGCCACAGTCGGTTGCAAGACTCATTCGCTGTAGGTTAACAAAAAAATTTGTTTGATAAGGCGAGTTGCAAACAATCAAGAAGGTCCATCATTAGGATGTGGCATGTCAGCGGAATAGCTTTCACCGGAATCCAGCATTTCAGACTTGAAGTCCTCCTGCCTACCGCCAGGATCCGATGCGTCTAGAACAGAGCCTGAGTTATAAGGTCTTCGCGACAGTCATGGTGAGCCGAGCTGTGTCCTCAAGAAGCAAAAGCCTGATAGCGACAGTCGGACTTGAAGTCTGAAACGCCAGATCCCCATGAAAACCGCCTCATCGATCCTCTAAAATTGTCCGAATGCATATAGACATTTTAAAATGAGTCATTTTAAGTCATTTGGACAAATGCAGGCATTAGGAGGACAAGTGCAAGTCGAAATAGTTGACCTCGTATTCTCCAAACATTCAAAAATGGGTCAGATGTCGTTATGTAGCCGCATCTGAAGTGCACAAACCCCAGCCAGCTTTAATACGGGACCGGTAGCAATAGGGGTTTTTACAGGTGGAGCCGGGGGACGCACAGGCGAAGAGATCAAGTAGTTGTATGCAAAAGGAAAGCTATTGGGAATACTCAGTTGTACTTTGAGCGGTTGAGAAATAGCTGCCCTAACCCTAAGCCCTAACCACTAACCCAAACTTAAACCCCAACCCTAACCTTACCCCTTAACTGCAGCCCTAAACCCTAGCCCTGAAACATTTAACGCGAAAGTTAGCAGGAGACGACAGACCGAAAGTCAAGAAGGATCATTGGCATTGGGCGGTATAAGATAGACACGGCAGCAAATAAACAAGGCCGCCGACAGAACACGCACCTATACGTACAGCAACACCATGCCAACGTAATCACACCAGCTCAAAAGAATTAAGTATGTCAACAGTATTATGTCCAGCAGGTGCGGCTACATAACCACATCTTACCCAAAAATGGTCGAAAAAGCCACCATCAATACATTCAGGCCGATTGCCAACTTCCCTAGTCTCCAAAGTACTGCAGTCAGAACGTACTTTGGATGCTAACTAAATTTCAATGACGAATGAACTAGCGTCTCAAGTCAAGAGACAACACTTGGGGAACAGTCTCCCACGTCGATGTACACCGTTTTTTTTTTCTGACACGACAGTCACGGTATGCATTAAAAAGGTAGTTTATTCGAGTTCGCACACATGATGGTATCAAAATCCGTTTTACCAGCATGACTGCCTCCCAGGTAGACCACAAGCCGTCTGGGTGATATCCGCGACAGGGGGATGAGAGCGACCTCGCGTCTTCGTTAATTTAACGAGCGCTGCGACTGATCTCTGTGACGCTGGTTGCAGTGAGAAGGCGAAAAATCGATAAGGCTGCCACCTCAGACCGCCTCAATGTGCATCTACTCATTCACTTGCTCCTGTGGAGCAGGTTATATTGGTCGTACGAGTCGGCGCCTTTCCAAAAGAATACGAGAGCACCTTCCCGCATGGCTGGCAAAGGGTGAAACTAGGAGAATAGACAGCGCCATCCTTGCGCATGCAGTGGACTCAGGGCATCGTGTGGACCCCACCGAAGCATTTCGTGTGATTTACAAGGTCCCCTCGAGCTACCCTAAGCTACTGGGCCAGCGCCTGCTAGCAACAGCAGAAGCGGCCGCCATAAGGTTACGAAAACCGACCCTATGCGCCCAAAAGAACCTTGTTCAGGCTCCGCGCTTACCGTGGTCAAAGGTTGACTAACCACATGCAACTTTCGGCGCCCTTCCGCTCTTGCCGAGCCTGTAATTTAAAACCTAACTTTTATCGATTTTTGTTTCACTCACTCTACCCCGCCCTATGTAATTGTATTGGCCTGATGAGAATTTACCGAAAGGAACGTTCACTCGCCACTCTCTCTTCTGAAAATCGATAAGCTTGCAGATTCAAAAAATCAATGCGGAAACATTGTAGGATGGCAGAAAGCCTGCCGGTAGCCATTCGAAGCGGGGACACGAGACTAGAATGACGCAAGGTAACACTTAGTTTTTTCCTCCAGACTGCCTTTTTGAAACCCTCACCGTCAATTTTACGCGGGCAGTTCAGCAGTGTCACAAAATAGGCTTTACTTCGAGTGGCCAGTAGAATGGCCTGTTAGGGTTTTCAGCCCTCTAGAGAGGTTTGGACTTCAAATAGGATATTCCATGTAACTTCTATGCCCTGGCCCCAATTACAGTAAACAGCAGATGAACGCAGGAAGGCATATAAGCGAATGGCTAATACCTGTTCGCATTTATTATACGTAAGGAATTAGCGTCATTAAAAGTAACTTATAGACACCAGTAAGTTATGGAGGTGTTAATTGGCCTTCCTGGGGAAGAAATGAGTCATTTAGTTATGTAGAAGACTTGCACCACCATCATAGGCAAGTAAAATGATTAAAATGAAACTCATTAAAAAGTCCCTCGTGAAACGATTTTTTTTTCTACTTTCAGTCGTCAAAGCCTGTGTGGATACGGAGACCTCTAACCGCGTATTTGGCGGTCGTCTTAGTTTACAAATGGAATCAACCGAACACCCGGTGTGTATGTACTCGATCAGGCCACAACATTTAGTGATGTTTTGTTAATTTTCTGAGGTTCCATCAATAACTTACGATTTACTACTATTTCCTGTGTAATTAGGGCGTTCCAGAAATCCTCGTTGAACTGGTCAAGGCGCTTGAAGATCGTGGTTTGGAAACTGAAGGCATCTACCGTGTTCCTGGGCGGGCTTCAAGGCTACAAAACTTCATTGACTACGTCAACGCTGTAGGTTAGGTCGTTTTGTGTTATGTCCACCATCATCTTTAACATTAAAAATTTGGAGAAAAATCCGTCAACCGATTGATTATCTGAAGGTTATGACATGGGTATTCACTCTTTTAGAATCCCAGCGTCGTATCGGGACGCCTGGAGACGGCAGCCGAACCCGAGATCCTGGACAGCCGCACGATCTCCTCAGCAATCAAACGCTTTTTTGCGCTCCTGCCGGAGAGCGTTTTGAAAGCTGAAGATTTCTCCTCCGTCATGACTGAAGGGCTGGACGACAAGGAAGCTACAGCGCTGACGCCGGTGAAACTAGCCCGACTACTGGTGGCAATGCGAACTTCCCTCGAGCGAAAATTTGAAGCGGTATGTGCTTTAACTATCGCATTTTTTCATTTAAAGTGTGCTAAATGGCTATAAGTATTTATCTTAGGTAGAAGAAGGCTCGCTTTACTTGGGTGATTAAGTGGCTTTTCAGAGGAGAGGAGCGATTAATTGCCCTGATTTATCGGAAAGGGAATTGTCAGGTAGAACGTTCTTTCCACTCCTTCCTTTATCTCTGCAACTGGGCATGTCTCTTAATTCTTGTGCTTCGTAACAGGGATGGATGTAGGACAAAGAAATTAAATTAATGACAAGCAAATATCGCTCAGTTCCATCGCTTCGGACACGCTAGAGAGGTCGGCGTGGGTATCGCTCAACGTCCGACAGCGACCATGCGCAACAAAATCATGCGAGTGAAGGACCGATTAGACGTGGGAGAACAATCGGGTGTCGTTTATCAAATCCCATGTCGGGACTGCCCTCTCAATTACACAGGACAGACCGGACGACGACTTAGCTCACGAATAATGGAGCGTAAACGGACGGTCCGGAGGGGCGACCCGTTGTCTCAGGTCGCCACTCACCCTGGAGGAAGGCCACGAATTCAGCTTCGCGAGCGCGCGAATAGTAGTGCGGGCCAGCAATAAGACAGGGCGAGAAATGTTGGAGGCCTGGGTGTCCGACACCAACTCCATCAACAGACAAGTTGATATACCCCCCCTGCTATCACGTGCTCTGTTCCCGCGGCCAAGAGGCGAGACCCTATTTTCAGCCAGGCGTGCACACAGTCACGCCGCCGTGAGACGGCGTGGGACTCAGGTTATCGCGAATTCCACCCTCTGCACTCATATCCCCCCCCTTCATGGTTTGACTGCAAAAACTGCTCATTTGGTGCCGAATTCTCACAGTCACTGACGGTGGTCTTCTGTACAAGACTGAAAGCTCAGACTAATACACCTACCATTTCAGAGATTGTTTTTTCATCTTCTTCACAGTGTCTCTTGATTGTTGTGCTTCGTAACAGGGATGGTTGTAGGACAAAGAAATTAAATTAATGACAGGCAAAGATCGCTCCGTAAAGCTCGCACGGTTGGAGATTGTGTGTAGACGCTCCCGTGGGGTGCCAAAAGTCTTGTAGCTCTCCATTAAAACAAAAAAGTTTAGAGGAAAAAGGGCTGCTGCAAAGAGCAACGAAAGCACACGAGATAAAGTAGTTAAAGAAATTGCCATATGACAGCTTACGATAAGACTTTCGGCAGAAATTTATTTGTGTTCTGTGTCACCTTGCATTCCGCCTGCTCTTCGTTCTGCGTAGTGCCCCACCCGTAAAACTCCCTCCACCGCCATTCAACATATGACACGGTCCACAGGCAAACTCAAGTTAGCTGGGGTCTTACACCCTACCGTTGGTGAATATAGCTATTAGGCAACCATGCACCTATTCAAATTAGCAATTTATTTCATTTATTGCAGGATTTTGTTTGTGGTGCGACCTATCCGAGTCGTCAACGGCCGCAGTTTAATCACGGATGCCGTCGATTGGCAAGTGGAGCCTTGTTCCTCGTAGAATTCGGCCAGCAAAGTAAGCTTTTGTGGCATGAGGGTGGGACGCATAGACCTGCCCTTATAACAGGGCAGGAATACTCCTTTCTGACTTATCTTGGAACTGCCCACACAAGCGGTGGCAGTAACTGCCAGTGACCATTACTCATTTACAACAAATAAGCCAGAAATCCATTCCGGTATCCCTGTATTCGTAGGTAAATGGTTCTCTAACTTCGTTTGTGCTTTCATTCGCCAGAGCGAATTCCGTCACTCTGGCAGGCGACACTGTTCGTTCTCTTCTCAATGAGACAACGGCAAACCGACCAGGCATCGCGAATTCGTTTTTTTGCAGCTGCCTCCCGCGAAACCCGCATTTTGGGGCAGCTAAACAGTGTCGAGTTGAGTTGGTGAAAACCGTTCTGTTCCCCAGAAAAGGATCAGCAATAGTCTAGTCGCGATAAGATCAGTACCATCCGGGGAGAGTTTGCCCACAATTATCCTGTCAGTTGCGATCGGGCATGCACAGCGGTAGAAGGACACTCATTGACAGGCCAACGAGCCCCTGACTCAACGGCTAGGGCGTTGGACTTATAACCAACAGGTCGCGAAGTCGAGCCTCAGGGGTTGCAAAAAACCCGGGGTTTGGTATGGCCGGCTGATGGCGGCTTATAAGCCAGAAACGGTCAGCTCATCCTCCCTTGTCTTTGTCGGTAATGTTATTCTACTCATACAACTACAAGATTGAGTCCCGCGGCACAAAGCGGGACGTGTGTTTCCCGCAACCTGATCGGTGAGCTCCCCTCTACAATTGTATATACTCGATCGCAGCTGACAGGACAATCAGCCCGTGGCTCCGTGGTTAGGGCGTTGGACTTTTAATTACCAGGTTGCGGGATCGAGCTTCAGGGATTGCAAAAAACCTAGGGCTGAGTGTGTCTAGCTGATGACCGCTGTCAGGCCAGAAACGACCACTCAAGTCCCCCCTTGCTAGTAATGTCATTCTGAGGAAGAAGACCAGCCTCAGTTAGGATGACAAAATTGACTCATGTTGCCACGTGAGGCATCGCAGGAACTTAGGATTTCATGCATTTTTCTTCCCATATTCTGCGTTCCTGTGACTGACTGGTCCTCGGTAGTGTGATTGTGAATGTACGAGTGAGAGCGGGCACGGCCAACATACAGTACGTGACCGATCTCATGAAATGTTGGCCAAAATTCTGGAATGCGTTCCCGATTAGGAAGGATTACTTAAATGGGGTTGTTACACTGATTATCGTGCAGAATAACCCTGTAACATTTCGGACTCGCCAGGATGTCGGCTTTTGAATGCATTTCTTGTCGATCTTCTACAGAAACCACATTTGGTAAAAAAATGACTACTTAAGTAACATGCATTTTCCTATTGATTTTCGGTGGTCCTATAAATTTAAATATATTTTATAAAGAACAAGCACAAAATATGCGTTCTTTTGCTAATTTGGCAGGAAATCACAGTGTATTCATATTTGATGCCCGAAGAAAGTGTATATTTTGGTTTTGAAAAAGTTTCTAATAGTGAGATTTTTAAGACCGTGCGATGTCCACGCATGCAAGACCGCACATGTCCGTTTACTAATGCTCATCGTGAAATGTACAAAACAGTCCAGATCCATTGCAAAATTTCATGAACTCTATGTGGTATCTTCTTAAAGGCATAGAGGAATATATGATTTCCCTTACGCGGAAAGCATACACCTTGTAGACTGCAATTGCTAAACGCTGATGCAATGGCAGATCAGGCTGAAAATTATTCGGACATTGGGAAACTTTTTCAAAACCAAAATATACACTTTCTTCGGACGTAAAATATGAAGATAATGTGATTTCCTACCAAATGAGCAAAAGAACGTATATCTTGTGCATGTTCTCTATAACACATATTTGAACTTATAAGATCATCGAAAATCAATTGAAAAAATGCATGCGAATTAAGTAGTCACTTTTTACCGAGTGTGGTTTCTGTATGAGGTCAAAAAGAAGTGTATTGAAAAGCCGACATCATGGCGAGTCCGAAATTTTATTGGGTTATGCTGCATGATAATCAGTATAACAACCTCACGCAAGCAATTCTTCCTAATCGGGAACACATTCCAGAATTTTGGCCAACATTTCATGAGATCGGTCACGCACTGTAGCATAGCTGCCTGACGTGGTAGGGTCTGACTGCACCAACTACCTTACTAACAGCAATAACCCACATCACCTGTTGTGTTTTAGACTCCGTCTGGTGACACAGACGCCGCCGCCGAGGAGGTGGAGAGGAAGTGGCGTATGGCCACATTAGACTTCATCCTGCGCCATCTCCGGGAGGTCACGGCTCTTCAGACACACAACCATATGTCCCCACGAGCACTCTCCCTGTGTTTCGCTCCCTCCCTCTTTGGTTGTCCGAAGAGATGCCGAACAAAGAGCCTGGTACATTTTGCCGATTTATTATCTCGAATCCTGCGCCTTAAATGTCATCCTTGAGCACTCACGTCGTCGTGTTTTTACTAGATGTTGGAGCTCATGATCGAGCACTGGCCCTGGTTGACGGAAGGCCTGGAACGTGGTAGTCAGGGGGAATCTTCGGAGCAGGGGTCTCGGAACTTTGTGGAGGCTCGACGTTATGCCTATCAGTACGTCAAGTAGTTGGCGCTCTCAAGAGTTATATTTCAATGTCCTAGCCGGCCATTTGACTTCAAACCGAGTGTTCATTTGTGGTGACTGTTTTTTGCTTTCTGGTTTTTAAAACAGATTTCCTATCTGTTTTCGCACTTTAGATTCCAACGTCATCGGTTCTTTGAACCAGATCTTATCGTCTGATCGTTTAGTTCATTTTCTGACTGATCCACGAGTACATTGAGGTTTGTCTTTGATTGTGAACTCCCTGTGATTTGTTTGTGTGGATGCACATACCAAACCCTCTCCCCTTTATCCATTTGTTTCAAAAAAATTTCCAAAGCAGCTATTTATTTCCTGCCTGTTTCATCCTCCAAAGACTGAATAGCTGCAAAGACACTTTATGTGAAAAAATCAATGGGTTTATTCGCGCTATAGTCGGGAACTCATAAATTGTTGGTCGGAATTCCTAAGAGGGTTTTCAAGTAAAAGCGCTTGCTCAAGTAGATTTAAAAGAACAGTCTAAAAGTCCCAGTAAAAAAAATGCAAACTCATTAGTACAGTAGATGCGCTAACTCGTGAAAAGTTAAACGAAATTCTGAAATGCGTTTTCGACTCGAAAAGGTTACTCAAGTAGGGTTGTAATATTAATCATCGTGCAGCATAATCCGAATATGATTCCGTTTTTAAATAGACCTTTTTTCGGCTGTCTCCAAAAGTTAAACTCTACAAAAATGATTACTTCCATGGTATGAATTTTTACCATCCATTTTCTATGCCCTTATAAATTCAAATATAATTCCTAGAAGACATGCATAAAAGTATTCATCCTTTTACTCATTTGTTGCAAATTATGTCTTCGTCAAATTTCGTACGTGAAGGAAGGTTATAATCCGGTTTTAAAAAGGTTTTAATTATGAGATTGTTTAAAAACCATGAAATGCCCCTTCATAAAACATCGTGGCTCTGAAGTTACTAGTGTTGCTTATAAAATTTACAATATGGCTTAAACCCACTGCTAAATTTAGCGAAACCCCTATGACCTACTCTTAATAGCGTAGGGAAATGCATGACTTTACGTACATGGAAAATATACAGCTTGTAGTTTGGAAACTCTGAATGCGATTGTAACGACAGGTAGGGTCCAAAATTCTTCGAGAATTGTAAAACTCCTTTTTAAAACCGAATTATATCCTTCCTTAAAATATGAAATTTACAGAAAACGTAATTTTCTACCAAATGAGCAACGTTGTGAACACTTTTATGCAGGTCTTGTAGAAAGTACATTTGAATTTATAAGGGCATCGAGAATCAGTGGGAAATATTCGTGCTAATTAAGTAGTCATTTTTGACAGAGTGTAGTTTTGTCAGGCTACCGGAAAGAAGTTCGTTCACAGGCCGGCATCCCTAGGTAACGTAATGGCACAAATATGTCGGTACACCATCTGCGGTTCCCACGGGCGATTAACAACGATCTCAGTACAAGAATGCAGGCCACAGTAGGTGGGCTAACTCATGGATGTCAGCTGGAATTCCGAAATGCATTTTCGTTTCGAAAAGGTTAATTAAGTAGGGTTGTAAAACTAATCAGCCTGCAGTGTGATTCTATAATAATTCAGTTACCTCAGGATGCCGGCTTTCGAACGAACTTCCTTCTAACTGCATGCAAAAACTATACTCAGCAAAAAATGACTACTTAAGTAGCATGCATTTTTCTCATTGATTTTAGATGCCCCTAAAAGTCTAATTATATTTCATGGAAAACATGAATAAAAATACTCATTCCTCCCCTCATTCGGTAGAAAACTACGTCTTCTTCTAATTTTATACTCGAAGGGTGGGTATAATTCGGTTTTTAAAAAAAGTTTCTAATTGTGGGACTTTTAAATACCGTGAACTGGCCGTTCATAAAACGTCATGTCTCTGCATTTACCAACGTGGCTTGCAAAGTTAGTAATATGGATCAAATCCAATGCTAAATTTTATGAACCCCATATGATCTCCCTTCAATACCGTAGAGAAATGTGTGGTTGTCCGTACTCGAAAATACATGGCTTGTAGTTTGGAAACCCCGAATGCAAGTGTGACAGCAGAGCGCGTCCAAAGTTAGTCGGGAATTGGAAAAGCTTTTGAAAACCGAACCACACCCTTCCATCGAGTATAAAATTGGAAGAAGACGTAAATTTCTACCGAATGTGCGGAAGAATGAATATATTTATTCATGTTTTCCATGAAATATAATCGGGCATTTAAGGACATCGAAAATCAATGAGAAAAATGCATGTTACTTAAGTAGTCATTTTTGCAAAGTATACTGTTGCATGCAGTCGGAAATAAGTTCCTTCGAAAGCCGGTACCCTGAGGTAACTGAAATATTATAGAATTATGTCGCAGGCTGACTATTTTTGCAACCCTTCATAATTAATTTTTCCGAAACGAAAACGCATTTCGGAATTTCGGTTGACATTTCATGAGTTAGCCCACCTACTGTAATTGGTAATTTTATGATGGTCGGTTGTTTGCTGAATTATTCCCAGAAAAGATTCCCGAAAAACCCATTCCTTCTGTCCACATTTTGGGGGACCTATATCCATCTCTTCAAAACTAAGGAGCAAAGATTTTGAGAAGGCTATGCAATTCATAATTACTTGACTTGCGGTTGGGGTAAGTCGGTTGACGATGTCAAATTAACCAACCTGCCCTTTGAGTTCCATCACTTTTGCCGATAATGATAAGGGATTATTGTTTTACTGTCACTGTTATAAGCCGTCCTAGTATTCGGAAATCACACGAAGCATAAGACGCACCCGACTGTTGTCCCCAGCACCAGCACAGCAGAGAAAATAAGCACGATCGGTCGCGAAAAAATGTACTAGAAACCTGAAAGTCATTCTCACTGAAGAGCTGTGCGTGTGTTTATAGCATCCTCTTCGGATTGGCTAATTTCTGTCCAATCTGCTTCAAGAGAAGGTTCTAGAAGAGGCGAGCGGCTTCTCAGGCATGGACCAACCAGATCTAACGGGAAAACTGTGGCCATAGGCACACGCACGTGCTTCTCCGTGAGATTAGCTCTTCGTTGGAACGTGGACACTCAACAGTCACCAACTTAGAAGTGCTCGATGCCGAACTATTCCGTTTATTAAGGGAATGAGGCTTTCGCCCCTAAGCTCCCTATTCAGAAACAGAAATAGAATCAATTGTTACATCAGCGAATCTGGAAATTCAAAAGTTAACGGTAAGTGTAGGCCAGGAGCAAACTACCGCTGCTAAAACAGTCGTGATTATATGTACAGCAATTTCTCAACAGATGAGCGTCTAGTCTGCACTTAAAGGATTCGTCAGTTTCGAAAAGAACCACTGCATCAGGGAGTCCGTTCCATGCTCTAATGACCCTCTGCGAGAAGGCGTTCCGTCGGACGTCCGTATGGGCTAGCTTTCTCTACAGTTTAAGGGAATGAACATGCAGACAGTCAGTCCCGGCGAATTCGAAAAATTCACCAAAGTCTAGAGCGCACTCACGACCTCTGACAATCCTGTAGGTTGAATGAGATCGTCGCACAGTTGCCTGTAGTTGAGAGGAAAAGATTTAGTTCGGCCAGTCTGGTTTCGTAAGGCAGATTGGCCATCTTCGTAGGCATCGACTGTACTCTTTCCAGTTGTTGATAATCCTTCTTCAACCACGGTCGCCAGGCGTGAACTGCATAATCTAAGTGAGATCGAACGAATGCCCCGTAGGTCTTTCCTAACAGCTGCTTATCGATCTGCACAAATCCTCACCTCAGCGCAAAAACACCCGTATCGCGCGTTTGGCTGCCCTTTGACACTATAACGATGGTTTAAGCGAGGAGGTCATTAGAACGCCGAGGTCTTTCTGTTCCACAACATTTGAAATGGGCTGCCCGTCGAGGACGTATTGAAAGGAATCATCCTCCTCATCGGCCTTATTTGTACGGAGTCACAGGACTACACGTTTGTCCACATTAAAATTGAGGAGCCAACGAGTTGACCAACACTGCTCAGTAGACTTGCGCAGCATCCGCTTCACTCTCCCCTCCATTCTCCTTCATGGGCCCGGTAACAAAACTAAACCAGGACAACCGGGGACGGATGGCTGTGTGTGCCCACACAAACCTACTCCGCGCACAAAGGACCAGGATTTCGCAGAAACAAGAAGTAATCGGCTCGCATCCCATCTGAGTGGGAGTGCCATAAAGGGCACATTACAAAGGAGCAATCCAGCCCTGCTCTCCGTCCTGAGAGTGGAAGCGAGTTATTCCGTCAGTTGTCTGCCTTCCAAGTCACGGCTTCTAGCGCACCGTGATAAGTTCAGCCTGCAGCAGATTTGCGAGGAATATGCGCTAAGCGGCGTGGGGACGGAGTCCGCAGAGTCGGCTTTAATCCCTTTCCCCTCTCCCACACGCCAGTCTGCCGTCCGATTTTGTGCCTGGCCTGGCGCGGGCCTGCACCTAGGTGTGAACCGCACCTCTAGTGCGCGGACTTTACGCAGTCTGATTAGCGTGTGTCTCCGTGTTGGTGCAGCACATCTCCTGTGTGGCCTTTTGTGAGGACGCGCGAAGAGGACTCCACAGCCATCTGGACCATCAGTTAATCCTACCCGTTATGACAGACTTCAAACGTGTGGTTTAGACTGGTGACTGATGGCTACTAGTCACCATACCTCCCAATTGTTCTGGGCAAGAATTAAGCGATGGTTGACTCGGTAACGATTAATGATCACTAGTCTGTACCAAGCATCTGTGACTTCATGTTTTGGGTTGCAAAGAAGGTGAATGCTGCCCAAAACTGACTAGATTCATGCCAATTACCAGATAACTATGGAGTCCTGTGGCTATAAGAATTTCCCCGCCCCGGATTATCTGAGGTTATCTGCAGATACTCTGGGACGAGGAAAGTGAACAGGATCTTCCTCCGGTTGAGCGGTCAGTAAGCCAGACAACCACACCCGAGGCCAGGCCAGACAGTAATGCGTATAGGCTCATGTTACTGACATCATAAAGCTTGTCAACCAA